GCTGAGCCACTGTGGGTCTGACAGCATTTTCTAATGAGAAGATGATTGCTCAGCCTGGCAAAGGGGAAAATGTTAAGTCTTTGATGTAGCAACACACAATAATAATAGACCTTCCAGCCCAGAGCAACACGTTCCTGGAAACCAACCACCAGTGAGTTTTTTGTTTGGTATTTTCATAAAGAAAAGAAGTCTGTGTCAATGATCCACACACGTGGACCTAGCCAGAATCTGTTTTGACAAAGAGCAGGAGGTATTTCTGAGGTCACAAACAGAGGGACGAGTGGAGGGGGAGGAAGAGCTTGGAAAGGTGTCCAGTTGCCTCCCAGTTGAGACAGGGAGTTTATTAGTCCCCAACAGGTCAGTCACTTCCTCTACTGTAGAGGCCACACTCAACCTTGAGATGAAGTTGAGGTTGAGTCCTGAGGTCAAGCATGGCTTCGGCCAGGTCATTGCCATTCCCTGGGCCTCCAGTTGCCTTATAGGTAAAACGATGGGCCAGAATTAAAACAACAAAACAAAACAAAACACCAACTGGAGTTCTTTTTTCAGATGAAATCTTACTTTGGAGTCTCAGGAACAGAAGAATACATCTCAAGTTGGGGGTAGGGGGTGGGTGCATGGTCTCAGAGCTCCTCCAGCTTACCACCAGGGCTCTGGCTTTACCCTTCACCTGGCACTGGTGTCTCCATTCCCTGTGGCTCATCCTAACACAGTTTGAAAACCACTGGCCTAGATACGCTCTAAGTCCTCTTCGGGTCTAACATTCTGTGGTTCTGGTGCCTTTGGCACCAAAGTGTCCTCAAATCAAAGGAGGGATTACAGGCCCTAGAACAGCACTGCCCACACTTTAAAAGATGTAAAGTGCATTAAGTCTTCCAATTTCCTAATAGCCATGTTCTAAGAGGTAAAAAGAAACAGGTAAAATTAATTGCACTAACATATTTTATTTAGGGGTGCCTGGGTGGCTCAGTCAGTTAAGTGTCTGCCTTTGGCTTAGGTCATGATCTCAGGGTCCTGGGATTGAGCCCCACTCACTCAGCAGGGAGTCTGCTTGTCCCTCTGTCCCTCCCCCTCCCCCTGCTCATGCTCTCTCCCTTGCTCTCAAATAAATAAAATCTTAAAAAAATTTTATTTAGCTTGACATATCCAAACAGTTCAACATGTAATGGACATAAAAATAACTGAGGTATTTTACATTTTTTACATGAAGTTTTCAATATCCTGCATGTATTTTAAACTTACATCGCATTTAAATTTGTATTTGCCACATTGTAAGTGTTCAGTAGTCACATGTAGCAAATGGCTGCCATACTGGAAAACTCAGATACAGAACCTTCCATGGTTCAGAGCCTTTTCCAAAGTCACAGGTGCAACCTACCCATGACTTTAATGAGAAAGATCTACAAGCCTCCTGTGTCCAAACTCGTGGTTAGTGAGACAAGCAGATGGACCGGCTTCTATTTCCAACACCCCCAAACACAGGAGTGGCCACCTCTTTTAGGGGATCCTTCTCACCAGCCTTTCTCTGGCCTGGAAAGTGCTTTGGGATATTTCTCCAGGCCAGCCTGAATGACCTCAGCTCCTTGTACACCTCACCTTTCTATCCCTCAGCTCATTCCCCACTTCTTGGTAATTTACTTACTATCACCTTTATCTTGTGATGTATTATTTCTAAGTTTTCTTTAAGCCTTCTCTGCCTTAATTCTAGTACCTCCATGAATCCATCTCGACCTTGAGGATTATTTTGAAAACCCAGCTCTCACACCGGTCCCTACCTTCTGCCATCATCCCACACACTTAACCATTTGAGGGCACATTAAGGAAATCATTTAATTAATACATTTTTTCAACATTATCCATATTATATCTTATATGTTGGCCCAAGTTATCTTCATCTTTTGTCTTTAACATATAGTGCTTTCCACCAAAACAGTATTTTCCTCATGATGTTTGTTGGAACAAAGATATGGCTCAGCACAATCATGTCAGAACACTCAAATACACTGAAGATGCTTTGTTGTTTCTTTGGGACTAAAATTGAACATTAAGTCTTTGCTGGCTGTTTCTATACAGATCTGGTTCATAGCCATTGGCTGGCTGGTATTACAAATTTAAATCTACGGGCAGTACTTCAGATAGTGTTTTCACATTTATGACTCAAAAAAAAAAAAAAGAAAAGAAACAAAATCACCTCTTTTTGTACAAAAGCAGCTCAGAAGTGTAACGACTGAAAAAACAGCCGTATGTAATCTGTTTTCTACACTCTATAATTTAAACATAGGCTATACCTTTATAGATGCTTAATTAAAAAATAATTACATATTTGTATACGTTAATGATCTGGTAATTCTTCCATGTTTCAAGTTTGATAAATGATGAGGAATTTTGCCATTTTTCCTAATTTTTCAGTTTGGATGGCTTTGACTCTTAGTCAACTAAATTATAATAATCCACTAGTTTTAAACTATAATAAAATAATCATCTCATTAAATGAGTTAAATTTGTTTTTGAAGTGACATTCCCCTTCTGGGTCTGTGGGAAGAGCTGTTATAAACTCTTCTGCTATTGTATAAATCCCTACTTTGTTTGGGTTTAGATAGTGAGGCATTAGCAATGAATCCATAATCTAGAGATCACAAATGCTTTTAAACAGAGGCACCCAGTCTCTGGAAGCAAGGACAATGCTTTTTTACCGAATGCCTTTTATCAGCAAGTCATCATGGTGTCCCCTCTTGCCACCTCCTGCCCCCAGCACTCCCACCAGGACTTTTCCCTTTTCCTTCTGGGCTGGGGTGTTACCATTTTACAGATAAATAAATAAACACAGCGACTCTGGATGAACAGACACTACAGATGAGAGAATCGGGACTTAAAACCAGAACTTTCTGAGCCTGAATTAGCAAACATTTTTCAATAATTGTCTATGGTTAGGGAAAGGCAAGCTATTAAAGCTCCAGATAGATCCAGGGTAGACCCTCTGGGAACTTCCTTTCTGATTTCTATGAAATTATCCAGAACCAGTTCCTTGGCCAGGACCTGCTGATCCCCAAGGTGTAAGGACCAAAGAAAGGGTGTGCCCTAAGTACTCATTAGTTATCATTAAGGGCATGAACGTGTATGTGTGTTGGTGTGTGAATGCAGAAGGGGATACCCCAAACCCTTTCCTTTTTAAGATGATTGCGTTTACTGTCCGTGGAAACATGGGTGTGAAAGCTGGACTGTGTATGTGTATGCACATATGTAAAAATTATACATATATTCCCCCCCACCCTAGAGGAACCCAAGGGGATTTCTCTTAGTAGCTCTTTGAGCGTGTAGCTGGCCAACTCTGGGCATCTTCTGATTTCAGATCTGCACTGAAAGCAATTATATGAATATGTCGCTGCCACTTAGCTTACTTAATAGTCCTGGAGCCTTAAGTATATCTCCAAACACCTTCAATCTAGTAAGAGAAAAAACTCATAGCCAAATATTCTATAGTGCTCCTAATATAATGTACTCCATTGTCATTATTAAACTCCGTCGCTTCTGGCTCTCTGAGACAGGAGAGGGAAAGGAAAAGCTCTATTTCTTGAGGCTTCTTTGGTGCGGGTTCTCCGTAGTTCATCTTATCATCTCCACTCCTCTGCGTAGCCCAAGATAACTTTCCCGCAGTTTCCCTGATATTTTCGTGCCCAGGCGCAAGCCGGCCTGCCTCGCCCCCCAACTCTTTTCCTCGGGACGCATGCCTGGGCCTGCGACCCAGCGGACGGCAAAAAAAAAAAAAAAAAAAAAAAAAATCTGGAAAACCCAGAGGGGCGGCGCCGCCTCCTCGACGCTCCGCAGGCTACACTCGATCTAGTTATTCACACTCAGCTCCAGCTCCTTTCCTCCAGCGGTGGTGTTCCAGAAGCGCCGGGCTAGCTGTCCTCGGCTCGCCTGGGGCCTTGCGGGGTGGCGGGGCGGCTGCCGAGGGCGTGGGGACCGCGGGCCGCAGGCCAGGAGCGGGGACCCTGCGCGCTGGGCGGGAGATGCGGCCGCGGGGGTGTGGCGAGCGCACGGCGAGCCCCGCGACGCCCGGCCTAGTGGGCGCGCTCCCTGCTGCTTCTGGCCTGGACCCAGGCCGCCGCCTCTGAGCAGCCCTCCGCAGCGCCGCCTTGGTGTTCCCGGCGGAGCCCCGGGAAGCGGGCGGGGGACGGTGGGGGCGTGACCGGGGCGCAGATGCAAGCGAGCCAGAGGGCGCCGCGCCACTGCCGCGCGGGGTAGCACTAGGGCAGCCGGAGGGGCAGCGACATCTGCGGGCGGGCAGCCGACGCTTCCCGGCGGCGCGGAGCCGAGCGGGGCGGCTAGAAGACGCGGGGCGCAGCTTGGCTGGGTGGGCCTCCCTTTGCAGGGACGGCCGGTCGGCTCGCCAGCTGCGCCCGTGCCCCGGCCCCCAGCGCGTGGCCGGTGCTCGCGGGCCGGTGCGGAAGCGACGCCCCTGGCTGCTCGCTCACGTCGGTCCCACCGCAGGCGGCTCGGCGACGTCTAGGGTTTGTCAAAGCACCTCGGGCGCCTAGGAGAGCCCGGTTTCCCCACGGGGGGACGGCGATTGTAGTTTCTTGCCTTTAGAAAGTTACTCCGACACTTTTGATCTTCCGTCCTGAGTAAGGAGGAAAAAGAAAGAGCGATCTGCCCCCGGGCTAGGGGCCGCAAGGGGATCCGGGCAAAGGGACAGAGCCAGTTTTAAGCCCGAGCTGCGAGTCCGGCCCATTGACACTTCAGCCCCGGAAAGGGTTAACTGCATCCAGCCGGTTCGGTTTACATGTAAATAGAGAGCAGCTGCTCCGCGCGGGCCCCGGCTGGCCCTTTTAAGTTTTTGATTGGTTGCCAATGACATCACCGCCCGTGTTATAACGCTGAGGACCCGGAGCGGCGTCGGATAAACCCTCCTTAAAGAGACGATGCCACGCCCCCGGCCCCTCCCCCCCGGCTGTCCATTGGCCGCGGGCCTCTGTGAGGTAGCGGTCCGCTTTCTCCGGATTCCTATTGGCCCAACGTGCCGTCGGTCGGCAGCCGGCCCGCCCCCTCAGAACCTTACATTTACAGTGTAGCAAAAGAGAAAGTAACTATGTTGCTGCTGGAGATCAATGAAGCCGAGTGAATGGGGGCTGAATGGGCGAATCCTTAGCTGAAGCGGAGCGCCAGATGGTGGAGGGCTACACTTATTTATGAAGTAAGTGGAAGTCACCGCGGCTACTCCTGAGAGCCTGGGAGTGTAAGGCGGTGTGAATGTGAGTGTGTGTGTGTGTGTGTGTGATGCGATGCTCACGGGGTAGCCACAGCAGGTGAGGTTAAAGGGTTCCGGCTGTTGGCTCACTCTGCCCTGTGCGTTTACTCTCTCTGCAGAGAGAGTTGGATTTGGGGAGAAGAAGAAAATGAGGTTTGTTGGGATGCTTTGCGGCAGTTTTAAATGCCAGGGGTTTGTTAGTGTGCTATGTTGCGAAGGGGGATAAGCGCCCAGGATTGGGGAAGTAGCATTCTCTAACGACTTAATTTTCTTTCCAGCCCCTGCCTAGAGGTGGAAGGACGACTAGCAAGGCAGCGGGGATAGCTTAGTGTTTCTCTGGGAGGTTTCCTGGGCCAGTCTGGATGCTTTCACGGGCAATATATACGTCCGACCCTCTGCTGCAGGGATGCAGATCTCTTTATACACTCCGGGCGTGTGTGTGTGTGTGTGTGTGTGTGTATGTGTATGTGTGAGCCGCGCACTCCGTGTGGAGGTGGGGGTCCCAGCCTGTGACTCCGCGAACACGCTTATGCGTCCCTCGCAAAGGAAATGGGCTGTTGATCCTGGGACGTACCCTACCTGGTAACACAATAGCAAAGACTTTCACCGCTTGGTCCAGCTGGGAAACAGTTATAGCTTCTGGAATAGTACTTGCTCTTCAAAAAAATACTACGCGAGGGAGGGAGGGAAGGGGTGGGAGGGAGGGAACGGGTTGAATCCTTCTCTCCCATCCAAAAGTGGGTAAGAGAAACCTGAGTCCGTGGGGATCTGTGGACGTGTCGGGTGCGTGTCTCTGTGTGTATGAGTGTGTGCGCGTGTGTGGATTCTGCCTGTGACACTTTGGCTCTGTGTGGGAGAATGGTGACGGTCCTGTGTAGACGGATGATAGATGACATTTTTCCAGACATCTCTTAAAGTTCGTTTAGGTGAGTGACTCTTGCATGGGGTTTGGTTTCTCTGAGCATGTCTAATAGAAGAGGAGCCAGTAGGGTTGGGTTGTAGAGTGCCCCTGTGCCTACGGGAAGGAAGGAACTCTTCCTTTACAGGCACCCCCTCAGGAGACAGGAGATGGATCCAGTGGGCAACACTTCACTGCCCCCTTTAACAGGCACCGGCTAATTGGAAAGTCCTTTCTATGGAATTCATCCTCTTCAAGGGGCGGGGGTCTATCTGTGGGGGACTGAAATATTATACACAGTGGCTGCCTCCCATTGAGAGAAGCTCTTGGATGCACAGTCTGTGCCAACAGGGAACTGAAGGAGGGAGCAGAGTTGAAGTGGTCCTTTCCTTAAAGGCAGGAGTGTGGGGGGTAGGGGAGAAGGGGGGAGATGAGGTGGGCAGCAAAGGAGCAAAGGGTGATGGATCTGCCAGGGTTGGGGGTTACCAGATCTGGCTCCTTGGCCTGAGGCTTTGTTTCAGGACATTTTGTTTGTAACAAAAGGGGAAATGCAGATTAATTTATAAGAGACTAACAGGAAACATGGGAGGTTTTAATATGACTATGTTGTGCTTTTCAAAGGAATGCAAAGCAAGAATAGCTCCTAGTTAAAGAGATTCACTTAGGGGGATACTTCCATTCTGATTTGCAGAAAGTTGCCATCCTCCCTGATGTATATTTAGCTGCTGTATATTTCGGTGAGCCATGCCAGCGCTCATGGTCATTCCGTTGCCTTTGCAGTGGGTGAAGGAATTAAATGGAAAGTATGCAAGGGTGGACAAGTGGGTCTTTCTCAGATGGTTGCATTGTGCTTCTGCCCAGGAGATGAGGCCTAGAATAGATGCCTCTGAAGAGCCTTCCTTTCTGTCTTCAGCTTTTCTGATTCTTTGTGCTTGTACTTTCTCCAAGGCTGAACTTCGATGTAGGTCAATGAGAGCCTGTTCATCAACATTTGTGTAGACCTTACACGGAACCTTAGACTTAGTCACCAAATAGGTGGGGGCCGTCAGGTCGACATCCTCTTCGAATCTATAAAAATGAGTTTCAGGCTTTGAGAGTGGCATGAAAAAGGGCCCTTAGGACAGCCTCACTCAGAGGGATGCAAAGGCCTTTCCTAGGGTTTGGATCAGACTGCCTTTTGTGTCACGTGACTTTATTCTTTCTTTCCCCCCTCCCCTTCTTTACAGACTGTCTTGAGTTCTTCTTCAATTGCCAGTTTTCAGCCTCCTCATGCCTCCATCTCCTTTAGACGACAGGGTAGTAGTGGCACTGTCTAGGCCCGTCCGACCTCAGGATCTCAACCTTTGTTTAGACTCTAGCTACCTTGGCTCTGCCGCCCCAGGCAGTAACAGCCACCCTCCTGTCATTGCCACCACCGTCGTATCCCTCAAGGCTGCGAATCTGACGTATATGCCCTCATCCAGCGGCTCTGCCCGCTCCCTGAATTGTGGATGCAGCAGCACTAGTTGCTGCACTGTGGCAACCTACGACAAGGACAATCAGGCCCAAACCCAAGCCATTGCCGCTGGCACCGCCACCACCGCCATCGGAACCTCTACTGCCTGCCCTGCCAACCAGATGGTCAACAACAATGAGAATGCAGGCCCTTTAAGTCCATCAGGTGGGGTGGGCAGCCCTGTGTCAGGGACCCCCAAGCAGCTAGCCAGCATCAAAATAATCTACCCCAATGACTTGGCGAAGAAGATGACCAAATGCAGCAAGAGTCACCTGCCGAGCCAGGGCCCTGTCATCATCGACTGCAGGCCCTTCATGGAGTACAACAAGAGTCACATCCAAGGAGCTGTCCACATTAACTGTGCCGATAAGATCAGCCGGCGGAGACTGCAGCAGGGCAAGATCACTGTCTTAGACTTGATTTCCTGTAGGGAAGGCAAGGACTCTTTCAAGAGGATCTTTTCCAAAGAAATTATAGTTTATGATGAGAATACCAATGAGCCGAGCCGAGTGATGCCCTCCCAGCCACTTCACATAGTCCTCGAGTCCCTGAAGAGAGAAGGCAAAGAACCTCTGGTGTTGAAAGGTAATGCCCCTGTTCCCCTCCCAAGCACAGTCCCGGTTAGCCTGGGTTCACTTTGGGTTTTGTCCTAGAAGTACCAGCATTCTCCTTACCCTGGCTGCATGAGACCAAAATAGACCTTCTTCTTCTTGTCTTCCCTTCTTTGCCCCTAACTATTTTGCTGTAGTGAGAAAAACCAGTCACACTGAACCAGAAGCCAGAAGACCCGGGTTCTAGTCTCCATGCAGCTTCTCATTCACACTATGCGAGCATTTCACCTTTCTGAGACTATTCTCTCATATTTTAGATGGGCTGTCTACCACCAGATGGTATCTCAAGTCCTAGCTGGTCTGGTGGCTCTATTCCAGTCAATAACCAGTTGGAAAGTTGTTGTCTCTCAGATTTAACCAAAGTGGATGGAGTGGAGGAAGAAGCAACTGTGGTGAACCTCAAGTAAGCCTTCAGGTTCCAGTGCTTTTTATGGGAAATCTTCTTTCTCACCTCTGACCAGCTTGGCTTTTATATGGTTTATAAAGTGACCTTCAAGAAGGGCAGAGATCCTTACTATAAGGCCCCCCTCAAAAGCGTAGTGTACCAACAACATCCATTCTTCTGCCAAAGCTCCAAGGGGACAGAGACATTTTTATGAAATACTCCTCAACCCGTTGTTCTTTCTGGCCTCTTCTGACAACCACTGGCATCATGGCTCCTCCCAAGATAGGGTGGTAGGTCACTTGGCCCCTTACACTGAATACAGAATAACTCTGATGTCAGTGTTGCTGAGCCCCGGCAGGAAGAATTAATCACCCACTGTTTTCTGAGCTCCTTCCACACAGTGTTGCCTAACACAGCAGGGGAGCCTTCATCTCGTGTCTATCTGACTGGCTCCCCTTTGCCCTCAGATATTGTCCTTTGGGGTACTACACACCACTCTTTCTCTTTGGTGTCTTCTGTCCTTTGACGGCAGTGAGAGATGGTCATCTTCTCTCTTTTCTTCTCTTGTGTTTTGAGCTAAGGTACACAGTTTGTGGGCCAGATCACCACCAAGTCTCCTGAAGTGTGTTGACCAGAGGTATTGCTGTGTTCCTTCGAACACCTTGCATATTTAAATTGCAACAGGCCATTGGGATGAGCAAGTTAGTTGTTTTGTCTTTGTGTGACAGCTCTGTCATTCTCCTTCTTGTCTTCCCAGGGATGCATTCTGCCTTTTGTTAAGTAGCATTCTTGGAAATATGGTTCTGAATTACCTTGATAAATTCCTCCCTCCCCCTCCCCCTGGTCCCATCCCCTCCTGCTCTCCTCAGGCTCAACTGCCACAAAGGCACAACTTTTCTTAGGGTTGGTAGGCTCTGGTGGGAAAGAGAACATGGTGGAGGTCATATCCAGAAAGTTTCAGCAGGGCCCAGGTATTTTTGTTGTGATTGATGATTTTTCTTAGGGTTACAGATACATTCAGATTTCCTCTGTGTAGCTCTGTATTTTATTGTTTTCTATTCTTGTTTGGTTGACTTTGAGTGATTCCCAGTAGGCTTACCCAGCTAGTGTTCTCCCACCGTGATCTTGGCTTGTTTTGTCTTTTTCAGATAAGAAAATACAATCCACGAATTTCTCATTTATAATGGTTTGTCTTGGGGAGCAAAGAGGGAGGTAGCCCATGGTCTGGCGGGTCATCTCTTTGCTCATGTAGAGTTGACATTAGGAAAAAGCAGACCTTTTGTGTCTATATGATTTGAGGACAGGCATCAAACAATACAAATTAAGATGACCCTGGACTTGAACATGAGGGTGATTAGGCGGAATTGGAGATCTTACCCTCTCGTTTGCAGCGGACATTGTTGTGTTTGGTGGTGGCCTGTCAATCACTGGGAAATGAATCTCCCGGGTGCTACCGATGAAAGTGGGGTTCCTCCCCTGTGGATGCAACTGAGAGTCTGGGCAGCCTGGGCTTGTTCCTCAGTGTCAGTGAAGTAAGATTGCCTCAGTGGGGCGGGGCCGGACATGCTGCTGACCTCACCACTGGGCACCCTGGGCAGCCGCGGTGAGGGCTCGTCATTTTCGGGTTGGTGAGACACAGCGGCGGTTGACCTGGAAGACACGCTGGTGGTAGAGGTTGGATTCTTTGTAGCTTTGGGGGCTTTTTCTTCAAATATCTGGGAATTTGATTGAAAATAGACAGTTTAGGAGCAAAAGGGTTGGTAATTTAGTTTATTTATTATTGTCGTCATTATTATTTTGGTCTCTTTTGGGGGAATGGCTTAAAATGGGGACCAAGATGGGAAAAAAAGGAGAGTGATCATAATTAGGATGTCCCTAGCTACCCTTCATCTGGGTATACCAAAGGTTAATACCATAACACCATGGAGGTGAAGAATGGGGTGGGCATCTCTCAGAAGGCATGGCCAGTGACTTCTCCTAAGTTCTTGAGTGGATCAAGCAGACCGTTCTGGTCTGGCTTCTCTGCTGAGGTTTATTATACTAATCCCCTCCCTGGGTGATGCAAGATTTTATTTTAGCAGAGTTGTAGTGGTACCATTTTGGAATGAATGATTTTTTTTTTTTTTTTTTTTTTTTTTTTTGCAGGGAAGCTATGGTGGTGAAGATAGTTAGAATCTAAGTTAGAAACTTTGAGGGCCTCATTAATTTATTTTCAGAGATTTCAGTACAATCTCGGGTAATTTATGGCTGGCCCAACTGATTCTCTGGTTTATGTTTGTAAACACCGGTTGCTACCCTCCCCTATCCAAGTTTTATGTCCCCCCTGTTTCAATGCCACGTTCTCCATTTTTGGTACTGCCTGTCAAGTAGAGTGGCTGCTCAGTTACCATTTTAGTAATGCTGTGTCAGGTTGGGAAGAAACTGATCAGAGGCACAGAAGCCCCTGGGATTAAGTTACTGTTCTAATTTACAGTCCCCTCCCTGTTGTGACCTATGTCCAAATCCATGTTTTATTCTCCTCTTCCGAAGAATAAATGGCATCAGACCAGTGCTTCTACTCCTTCTGGTGAAAATGAGCCAAATGCATAAATATTTAGGGATTTGCAAAGTCTTTGAGAGAATTACAGTCTGTTTTACCCCAAGTTGGTTTTCAGTATGATTTCTAACCAAACTGAATAAGAAGGCTCGATAGTTCTGGGCCTCCCATAATGAGAGCTATCATCTTTGTTTTGATGTTTATAAGGTACCCTTTCTTTTCAGGAAAGCTGAATTCAGGAAAATAATTTATCGTTTACCTCTGTTGGAAAAGATAGTCTACTCTCACCTGCCTCCTCCTTAAAGACCTCTGTGCCTTTAGAACTTTTATTATAAGAATTTTCAAATATATAGAAAAGCAGAAAAGAATATAAAGAGCACCATATATCTACCACCCAGATTAAACAGTGGTTTATATTTGCCCTATTGGCTTTCTCTTCCTTTTTTGGTTGTTGAACTATTTTATAGTATAAACAACATTTTAATGTATTCAAATATGTTTCAGGTTTCAAGTTACTGTTTTAGAATTAATAAGGCTGCGGACATTTTATAGTATAGTACGGACACATTTTCACTCCTAAATACTTCAGTATCATGTGCCCCCTCTTGAAAGTTTCTCAAACTTCGATTTCCACTGTGACTAGCTGGCTCTCAGGTCTGTGGAGAAGCAGCTCTCCCTCGGAGTGGGAGGGCTCCGGGCACCTCCTTGGAGGCTGTAGCACCCCCTTCCACGTGGCTGTGTCAGGGCTCGGCCTGTACTTGCTCTATGCAGTCAGGGAGCAAAGACTGCTGACCCATTCAGCCCCCCGCCACGGACCTGCTGCTGCACCGGTGGTGTTCAGTGGGGAGGAGGAGAGGAGAGACAATCACTTCAGGAGGCTGATTCGTAGGAAAGATATGATAACACAGGGAGTTCGGTTTTTAGACTATAAAACCTTCCATCATAATTCCTGAGGAATGAACCACACAGAGTGCACATTCTTCCATAATCACAAAGGATTCTGAAGTAACATTTAGAGGCAGTATTCAGTTTGATGACAAAGGGAAAGGCTATGCTCAATAATCAGAGACCCCGCGAAAATAGTCTATTTCTGCTTTGTTTGTCGTGGGGGAACCACAGTTTTCCTCTGGTCTTGCAGGATGTTAGGAGGAACTTTTTTAAAGATATGTGAAATAAAGACATACCTCCTATAATCACAAAGTTAGTGTTGTTATTCTGAGCCTCTGCTTAACATCCAAACATGCCCAACATTCCCCTTGTAGCAAATGGTGGGGAAATTCATGCAGGATTTTGGATCCAGTCTATCTGTTTCTAGTCTTGGTCCCCTCATACTAGCCATGTGCCCCTGGGCAAATTGCTTCATCCCTTACTTCCTTAATTTCCTCATTTATAAAAGAGGATGTAACAGCAGCTATGTCACAGTGTTAGTTTAGGAATCAAATGATGTCATGGGCACAAAGTGCCTAGACCAGTTTTCATATGCTGTGAGCGCTCGCTAAATGTAGCTTCATATTATTATTACCACTGGTTGAGCAGAAATGATGGCACCAGTAAAAGGGCAATCTAGGCTCCCCTTCCAAAGAAGTATAAGTAACAAGCTAGGTATGGCAGTGTGTGTGTGTGTGTGTGTGTGTGTGTGTGTGTGTGTGTTGCCATGGCCTAAAAATAACTTGGTGACTGTTCCCTAATTTAAGTAGCATACGGTTGGAGTGCCAAGTAATTATAAAAACATGTTGGGTCAAGAGGCCAGAGTTATTTGGGCATATCCTAGAATTATTTATTTGTAGGGGAATTTGTAAAAATGTAATGGTAAGTCTGTCCAACTAGTGTCCCATAACTCAATAATGAAAGTAGAAAACTATAAAGCTTCGCTTTTTCTGGCCTCTCATCAGTCTGATTTATTTTTGGAATAAGGATTGTAGTCTGACTATAAAAGGGCAGGTAGAAGGAGGGGGGAGTGTGCTTCATTTTCAAAAGTTCTCAAAGCTTTGAGTTGTGATGAGATGGCGTGTGAAGGAAAAAGGAGGGAACTGTGGGAAGGGCTGCTCGTTTG